GTTTTCGGACATACCGACACGGGTAGCCCGTTTAATACAGAATTTGATAAGCAGTATTTACAACACTTAGTAAGAGACCATGCAAAGCGAACAAAATTCTTATACAAATATTTAGCAGAAAATATGGTAGCAATTAAAGAAAAGATTAGGAAAAAGAAAGGCGGTGAAGATGAGATGGTATTTCAGTGTGGTAAAACTATATTTGCTAAAGATACAAACAAAAGAAAGAGTAAGGACAAACCGCGCTATGTTAAGGCTAAGGTAGTAGGCAAGGTCGAAAGAAATATAGTGCCGATACAAATAGGTGAAAGGAAGACTAAAGCTCCAATTAAAAATATCAAACGCCCTCCACAGGTGGTGCATACTGATGATTGCGAAGCCGATCCTGGCCCATCATCTGCAGTCACTTGAGGAAAACCCAGGGATACTTCCGGTAAAACAAGGACAAGCATATGCCCAAACAGATCACTGGACTATAATAAAGATTTTAAATTTAGAGAATATTTATGACGACCTAAATGTAATTATTGCTCAATATCATAAGCTTAGTAGACTAATTGAAGTAAAGGAACCATACCCTCGTGAATTTATCAGTGTTAAAACCCATGTAGAGTACATACGCGATATAACCGTCCAAAAATTCCAACAACTTATGCCGCGACGCTTTAAGAGAGGGATCTTAAATCCATTAGGTTCTGTTCTAAAAATTATTACGGGAAACCTCGATCATGAAGATGCTCTTAAATATGATAAACTTACTTCAGAATTAAGTCACAACCAAATTATCATTTCTAAGAAACTTACCTTGGTCTCCAAAATGTTAGACAGCTTTATTAATGCCACGGAAACCCTAAATAATAATTCCGTTATGCTGGATGCACGCTTGAAAAGTGTAGAGACAATGCTGAATCATTTAACGACTAGAGAAAATAACTGGGTTTTCTCTACGTATATTTTTGGATTATTTAATTTATTTATAAGTAATTTCCGAACTATATTTTATAAATTAAGTGAAATAGAGACTGCTCTAGCTTTTAGTAGAGTATCGATACTTCATCAATCTATAGTAAATTCTACAGAACTTTTAGATCATTTAAAACTAATATCGAATACCGAAAATTTAGTGTACCCACCAACAGAAACTAATTTGGTAAAACTAGAACAAACCATAAGTGTAAAATCTTATCTTAAGAAAAACCAGATAGCATTTATAATGGAGATTCCGTTAACTGATAATAATACTTACAATTATTTTAAGGTTTATTCCGTACCTATTTTCCGCGAATCTGTAAACGAAACGATTGCCATCTTCCCAAAATATCCTTACCTCCTGGTGAAAGGGATGAAATATTTACCAGTCACGAAACCGTGTCGTCCCCTTGCTGCTGGTAATGATTTCCTGTGTACCGAAGAAAATAGAGCGCTCTACCCTGGACTTACCTGCATAGAACAGCTAATGAAATTTGAGAATAATCTTACTTGTTGCACGCAACATGCTATTACAATTGAAGACGTTAAGGTGCAGCGAATTAAAGCTGAAAATTGGATTGTTTTTACAAAGTTAAAAACGACGCTGACAAAGCACTGCGGTAACGAGATCACCAAACAACCAATTTTTGGAACCTATATACTAACCAGCGATGAGCCCTGTGACCTGGAGATACACGGTACTTATATTCATCACCACCGTGTTTACACGGAATACGAAGCGGCGCCACCAGTTTCAGTCATCAACTTACCTCATTTACGTGCAAATATTAATGTAACAAGTACACGCGTAATTAACATGAATGGTGTCAACTTGGATGAAGTGAAATATATGTCAAATGCTTTAAAACACAGTGAAATATATTACACAGATTTAAGTGCTCTCAACGGAGAAAAAGACTCTAACTTGAGTGTTCTAACATATGTAATTTTAAATTTCCTAGCTTTAAGTTTCTTATTGTTCTTTATATACGTGTTAAGAAAAAAATGTATACCTTACATCCAAAATTATCGTAAAAGCATCAAAAATGATATTACCGATAATTTTGCTCTTAGGGAGGGAGGAGTTATGGATACACCCCGTCCCTCTGTTTTAGACTAAAATATTAAAATATATAATATTGTATTATTTAGACTAAGCAGTAAAACTAATGTATCAGCATTTGTATGTAAGTTCCTAGTACTTAGTTGATGAGTCGCATGTCTGCGCACAAACGGACTCTTTGAATATCATTCATTATTAAAGCCACCTCCAAATCGGTCGGACATAGTAATCTAATTGTATTTTAGTTTTTAAAAACTCCTTTCGACGTTCCCGAAATTTGACTATCTCCTTTTTTGTCTACTTATGTTTCGATAAAACAAATCAAAATTGTTTACTGTTTTTAGTTAACAGAACTTTTGAGTTATTAAAAAATAAGCTTTAAGACGCCCATTACACGGTAGGTTTTGCTGTCAGTTTTACAACAATCACGGTTGTGATTGACGAATAACCTATCGTGTAATGCGGTGATTGACGGTTGCATAAAATTGATTGACAAATATCTGAATATTTTGATTTTTACGTCAATCAACTATTAGTCACGAATTTTGATTGAACGTGTAATGACATTTCGTCAATCACGCGTCAGTCAACGCTTAGACAGCAATGGAGGCGGACGCAGAATATATTGAAGAGGCTGCTTCTACGCGCTCGCGCAGCCCGTCGCCACTCCCACCAAATGTGTTTCAGCCAGAAAAAGATTTTATTTTAAATTTTCAGTCTCTCCCCGAGTTGTGGGATACGAAAAACCCCGGGTAGGTTGGATGCCCCTAATACCAGCCACGCCCCTAATTCCAGCCTTTCCGCCTTTTTACTTCGTAAATAAGATTTCTAGTAGTCTTAACTATAAATATGGTCGGTTAAAAATTCTTCGTAATTAGGGGAAAGTATATTTCAAATATTACCTCACAGTTTTAAACCTAACAGTGTTAAATTAAAAATCAAAACATAAGCCATAGAATTATTACGTAATAATTTTATGACATAAGCATATTTTACATTAGCTCATCTTTAGGCTTTTTGATTAGTATGAATGTGACTATAGACATTTTCTTTTAGTGGAAATTAATGGGGCTGTAATTAGATATACGAAATTTATGGAGTGCATGTTGTCAGTCGCCCGACTGTTATTTGTTTTGACGTAAATAATAAGAAGTACCTTATTTTAACCATGTAATATAAATTAGGGCTGTCATAAACTAGAATAAATACCATTAATTTGAACTCACACAGAAAACCAACGTAGAATAGCAGCTTAACGCTGCTGTGTTTCGTATGGTGAGTGTAGAGAACCGGAGACCCTTTTTACTGGCAAAGAGGCATTCCATCTTAGTCCTCACGGGTGACAACGCATCTGCATCTTGAGTCTATATTGAGGATAGATGTAGATGTCTATGGGTCATAGTAGCCACTTACCATCAGGTGGACTGTGTGCTCGTTTGTCACCCTATCCTATATAAAAAAAACATAACTTATTTTATAGTTAAGTAAGTTATGATCAATTCGTCTATATTTTAAAATTGGTGTTTGATTTAAAAGTTTAACAAATGATACGTACTTGCTTTTCAGACATTTGGTATATGTTAAGAACACCATACAATATTTAATTATTTTTTGAGAAAGACAAAAACAAACAATAAATGTAATTAACTACAACTTAGTAATACTAATTTTACTATAACTTAAGAACATAAATGAAAATCATAAAAAGGAAAGTGGTTCAGGACCATGTTTTGCGGCAGTCTATGGAGAATGATGTTCTGTAGTCGACTTGTGAAGGGCTGAAATGATGACAAAGATTCAAAAACTTGGATCATTAAATTATAAGAAATCGGTGTACTATAATACATAATTTTTAATATAATATTGCTTTAATTAATTGTTTAGTGTTAAAAGAAAAATTTAACTGCTTAAAGCTAAACCACAGTAAGGTAAGAAGTAAAACATTAAAATAAAATAATTGTTGTCGTAATACATATTCCATACTTGTGACATGCATGATTTAAAATTAAAAGTTGTTATGAATTTATTTCAGTGCCCCTAAAATTTACCTACAATAGGTACCTACCAAAAACTCAAAAGGCATAGCCCTATGCTATGCTGGCATTAGATATACAAAAGGAAATTGAAATTGACACTAAAAGGCTGGTAATAGGGGCATCCACCCTGTACGAATAAATGTAAAATTTAAGCTTATTTTTCGTCCATAAATGCGTTTCAAATAAAGCCGCGTATCGATTATGCGCCCCAAGAGGTCTAACATTTGCGCGCGTTAAATTAAAATGGGTAAAATGATATTAAATATTACAATTTTTCCTATTCGTTTTTTTCTTTTTCCTCTCAAGATATAAAATTATAATTAAATGGTGAATCGAAAATGAAGTTAGTTTATAGGTACGTCCTTTCACTCCGAAAATTTGGGTTTGACTGACATCAGTCAGCATGAGCGTGTAATGTCGAAATTATTCTATCATACAAACGTTAATCATAATTGATCGAACTGATTGACGCTTGCCTAGGCGTGTAATGGGCGTCTAAGAAAACGCGCTCTATCTCGTTAAGTAGGTGCTATAAAACTGGTTAAGAAAGAGGACACAACTAATGTGCAAATAACTATATAAAAACTTGGGTAATCTTATATACCTTGACTAGTAAATGGAGACTAGACTAGTAGTAGAAGCAGAAATACAAACAGTTTAGAAACCGTTAACAGCATAGTGGCGGTGTAATAATATCCACTACTCCATGTTATCCTGTGGGTGTCGTAAGAAGCGACAGAGGAAAACAAATCCGGAGATGGGCAGCAGCGTCTTCCTAATAACGACTAAAATTAAAAAAATATCTGTGGCTGCCCACCCGCTTGCCAAGCGTGGCAACTATGGCAAAAATCCCCCATACGAGGGTGGCTTATGTTCAGCAGTGGACTTTAATAGGATGTAACGATGGCGGAAGAATAATAAAAAAAAATTACCTTTTTTAACCACGCGGGATCCGGTAGAGGCAGGTCTGGGAACGCCCTCTTCCTCTCCACGTAGTACCAGGGCGCTCTCACATAGTAATACCACGAGATGACGCGCTCCACAGGATCGCGCACCACATTTACATAAATCGGAGACGGATATCCGAACCTGGAAGCAAATATAATTTATAGTTTTCTTAATGCCATAATTTTACTCATATTTGTGTATAGCGCAAAGCGCAATCTACTGTTACATTTCCTTATGGTTTCGAGTAGCAAGCTATTTATCAGACTGAAACTTATGCTTATGATTATTATGATAACGAAATCAATAACTGAAGAATAACTTGTAGAAATCATCATTCGTAGGCCTAGTTTTTCGTAATTCATCAATTTGTATTACGATAAAATTTTATGTTTCATTACAAACTACTGGCATGGTACAGTATGCTTGGATATATGGAAAAATAATATGTAAACGGTGCCAGCACCTTTTTTGCCTAGACTTCAGACTATTCGGTATTTCATCTAAATCCTTGGAGGTATACAATACCATGTATCTGATGCCTTCAACATGACATATAACAAGCTTGAAGGGCTTATAGGTGACATGGTAATTTGAAACGTGTATCTGAATCTAATAAATGTAATATTATGTATTTAAATTAATATATCCGTATATTATACGCTGTGTAGTGGCGGCGTTTCTTACGCCGCCACTACACTATTCACTGTCCGATATCATCCCGTGGGTGTAAAGAGATGGGAATCAGCATCTTACTGATAATTACCGAAAATATAAAGAAACTGCGGCTGCCAACGCGCGTCTAACATAGCGCTGCCGTACCGTTCATCAGATTGCGCTAAAACTTTGTCAACTTATTGCTTGCACTTGCACAAAAGTTATAGGCATAGTACAAATAACTTACATTATGTCGCGCGCGTATCGTACCAACAAACTTCATTCCTAATTAAACAATATAACCCTTCCAAATTTAAAACGATATTTGCACTAGTAATTAATAAAATGTGTACATCCTAACGATACGAGAATACTCTTAATATTTATTGCATTACAGCCTAAAAAAGTTCACTGCTGAGTATAGGCCTCCCTCACGGATTGCCTCATAGTTACTATGGTAAACAGGCGGGTCGACAGCCGCACCTTTTATAATTTTGAGTTTTAGTTTTCCTCTTCATGGGAAGATATTGGGTAATGGATATTATTAGCACCCATGGGAAGATATTGGGTAATGGATATTATTAGGTCGACCTCCCCCTAAGTCTAGTCCTTAGATTGAGAGTAAATAATCTAAGGTCGAGTCACAATTTTAAGAAACATGTGGGGAGTTGACGGATACAGGTGATCTTGCTTTGTGGAAACCTATAGGGGAGGCCTAAGTTCATCAGTGGACTTTTGATGGACTGTAATGAAGATGATGATAATTGGAATGAAATAATATAACGTGCAATTTTCAACAATATTATAATTTTTTTTAAATAGTATCTGCTCCAACTCCAAGCAGTATTAAATACTTAATTATATACTTAATTTTTTACCATTTGTTAAAAAGGAAACGTATTAAATTGAACTAGTTCGAAATTAATTTTGTTTCAAACTTAATTATATAAAACATGTGTATGTACTATGTATTTATTTTATCTATGTTTTTATTTATATACTATTTTATATTATCCATTTATAAGTATTGGTTTCACCAAACAACACATCTTTTTATAGTTCTCTTGCAATACTGTCCATCCGAAGATCGTCTGGAAGAAATCGCTTTTAGCGATAAAATCCATTGTACCAGATTTCTTTGTTTGTTAAAATATATTATGTCGGCGTACAATAATGTATTATCTATCTATCATTGTTTTATATAAAATTAAATATTGCATTAACAACAAACAATAGCACCTATAATTTAATGGCCAGCTAGAGCTGTTCTTTCGACTCAGGCAATAAACATTCGTTTCATTTACAACTCGTTCCCCGGACACAAACAACATTGACACCATGATCACAGATGATTGATGTCCGTGGCTTCGGCTTTTATCTTACTGGATAGAAAATAAATTGAACTGTGTAATGCTCATTAATAAGTTCTCTTTATACCCAATCTATAAAGCTGACAAATGCAAACACGATTTGGAATATCGGTTGTAATTATGTTTGTGTAAATTACCAGCGTTATGATACCAATTAAATTGAAGAAAAATAGCAGCCTATAACTAGTCGTATTTATATATATATATATATATATATATATATATATATATATATATATATATAGCTACCAAATATTAACAGGATATATGGGAAAAAATTGCAGAGCCGCTCTGCGTATTGACAGACTTAACACGTAAGTACTCGGAATACATCTCGTCACTCAGAAATGTAGATCTCAGATATTTAATTGCCCTTATACTAAACTGTATTAGTCTTTCAGCCCGCAAGCCCTGAGTCCGATGAAGCTGTAAAAGCCAACAACACAACACAGGCTAACAACACCAACAGCACAAAAACATTAATATACTCGTACGTTATATTAATTCCCAATTGCTCAGCATAAAAAAGGGGGAACGAAATAAAGCTTCTACAAAGTATATTTGCTGTTATTTCGATTACATACAAAATTTAATATAGTACGAAAACGTCTCCATCGAATGTATATATTATGTACGATAATTGTAAACTAATTATTTAATTTTTGGACAAATATACATTATATAATTTTATATATAAAAGTATATAACCAACCTTAACCTTAACTATTAACTTACCTTAACCTTAATATTATGATCCTTTAAAATAAAAATATCCTATTGACTAGTACCCAGCATCGGGACGTAGGCTGTTTCTTAACTACTTTTACTTTGGTAGTTTCTCTCTATACGAGTATTCTTCGTGTTCAGCATGCGTTGCAATGCCTTTATTTTTGTCACAAATAAACGCGGGTCTACACGCACCAATTTTCGAATGACGATTCAGAATGCCAGCGTAAAATAGCAGTTTAACACTGCTGTGTTTCGTATGGTGAGTGTAGAGAACCGGAGACCCTTTTTACTGGAAAAGAGGCATTCCATCTTAGTCCTCACGGGTGACAACGCATCTGCATTTTGCTTCGTAATCGAGGTTAGATGTGGATATTTATGGGTGACAGCAAGCATTTACCATCAGGTGGACTGTGTGCTCGTTTGTCACCCTAACCTATAAGAATTTTTTTTTCTAAAAATTTTATCGTAATTGGATAAATGGCATAGGATCCCATAAAAACGAACAAGCATGCAAACAAATTTTTTTTTTTGTCAGAAACATTTGCTGGCCCACACACAACTCACCAAAGATCTATAGTAATCAGAGGAATGGTGTAGGTGAAAGTGCAAACGGGATTAAGAAAGAAATATTCCTTTTTATATTTTATAGAAGTAAATATGATAAAAGTTTCTTTACATAATTTAAAAGTCTATAAACGCTTATAATACCTTGTAAAGTTCGTGTAGCAGACGTGTTTGATGTAGGAGGCGGGTGGTGTATGCGCCGAAACTAAGCTTACGAGGATTTGCTGATCAGCCGGCGCCAGGCGTATCGTCTCCACTCGCTGGACTGCATCGCGATTAAACCCTAAGAAACACTTTTAAATATAATTTCGTGCTGACGGTTGTATCTTTAGACTTAGTAACAATATAGAACACATTAATTTGTGTACCAATAGTTTTTATAAATTAAATAACCAAACAGAATCCCACTACTGCTTGTTTGATACTACGAACATTAAACACCTTATACCTTTTTATAAACTGCTTCGGTGCTCCTACTCCGTAGATGTGATTTTTTACACGATCTTCGGAATGTTTGCATTGTAAGAGTTTAAATAACATTTTATTATCCGTTTAAACCTATGGTTAAATTACTTTAGTGACGGTTAATTGATGACTAATAAAAATATTCAACAATATTAGAGTTTCATATTTTGGAACGCGTGGTGAGCGTTTCCATTTATTTAAGTTTTGTTTAATGTCCTGGTGTATAGTAATTTAAGATATAAAGCTTTACCATCATATATAATCGATACGTTTACGTTACATTTACATACGTTCTAGGTACTTATGTATGAAATATCATTGAAGTAGCTATTGATTTATTGGTAAAATAGAATACGTGAGGGTAATATGGTCATCCGGTTAATATGGTCACTTTCTTATAACTCAAAAACTACAGCCTAATTTGCATAGATGGTTTTGTGATACGATAGCTCTTCATCAGTCATTCAAATAATAAAGGGTCAAAAGGGCGCCGCTTTATCGACGCCATTTTGACAGTTGATATTATTGTTAATACTATTTTAGTCGATTTTTGTATTGTGTAGATAGTTTTTTTAAGTAGATTTTTCGAAGTGTTCCTAATTATTTCCAAAGCTTGTTTTTTCTTAATAACTAATATATTAAGAAAAAATAGCAAATAAACTTTGGAAATAATTAGGAACACTTCGAAAAATCTACTTAAAAAAACTAACTACACTATACAATACAAAAATCGACTAAAATATTGACAATAATATCAACTGTCAAAATAGCGTCGATAAAGGAGCGCTTTTTGACCCTTTATTATCATTCTTGCGAATAAACCTGATATTGTGCTCATGGACCGGGCACAGTCAAGGATATTTTTGGTCGACATTACCATTCCGTATGACGAGAACCTCGTGAAAGCCGAAACAGATAAGAAAACAAAATATCTGACATGTGGGGTGGTCTGCCGACCGAAATTATCCCTGTAGTGGTCTCTGCGAACGAGCTAACCTCGGTCAGCCTCAGTCAGTCATCTAAGGCGACTGAGACTGTGACGGACCGCTCAGGGCTCAAATGCAGAGAGCGGTTCTCCTGTTTGTCCGCCGGTTTCTCTCCCTTTCCCCCTAAACCTCGGCCGTTTGATCTCCCCTGCCGAGGGCTTCCATCTTAAAACTTACAAGTAGTTAAACTTAGAAGTTTAGCTACTTGTAAGTTTCGTTCGATAACTTACAGACATTTTTATAGGGTTTTTTATTTATAGTAGCATAATATATATATAAACAAAAATACTTCATGGTAAGTAAAATAAGTCCAAACTATTTATTACAAACTAGCGATCTGTCCCGGCTTCGCACGGGTGATATCTAGATCTCGACAACAGCGCCACCTACAGGGGTCAAATCTAAATCTGAAAAAAATCATCAAAATGGGTCGAGCCGTTTTTGAGTTTTAGCGAGACTAACGGATAGCAATTGATTTTTATATATAGAGATGTGATAACCAATTATAAACAAAAAATATAATTAAGATAATTTCTTAGGTTTTCGAATTTGCATAAACTACCTTCTCAAATTTATGATAATGATTAATATAAAATAGATGTATATAGAATAGATAAACTATTCAAATTTATGATAACGATTAATATAAAATAGATTAAGCTAATCTATAAAACCTTAAACATGTACTGGGTTACACATCAATAATTTAGTTCGCTGTTTGTAAGTGAAATAAGAAAATCCATCACCTCATATCACCCCATGTGTGTCATAGGAGAAGACTTAGGGAAATTCCCAATGTATGTTGTAGGTTTCGAAAGACAGCGGTATTATTATCTCACAAAACTGAAACCGAAGCAGCGGTGATAGTTTAAGACGTCTGGTTTTGTTAGCAGGATTCGCCTGTCATGCGTAATGATTACCAAACCCTCCCTACTATCACAGAATAGATAATAGTACAAGTACTACTATGGAAAAACCCAGTTCAGCAGTGGAGGACGATATATAAGTTATAGTATAATAAGTACCATAATAATTCTCTTACTACTAATGGTCTTGAAGGCAAACTTGATAAAATCGTTACCTGAAAATTATTTAAACATAACAGAATAGTAGCATGTTAGATTGGCACATACCAAACTGGTTTCTAATGGCCAGTCGTCGCAGCAACTCCATGAATGTCTGGCTGCCAACTTTAGGCACACGATTGAAGAACAATAGCTCGATTTCAGATCGCGCCGTATTATTTAGCTCCCATGGCTCTGGTATTGTCATATCATCGATTATTTCCAATTCGACTTCTTCCTGTGATCTTGGTATTTCTGCCTCCAATGTTCTTTGTGGCTTGCTACGTTCCTGTGCAACAAAATAATAGAATATTATATATTATAATATTGAAAAAGATAACTAGGATTAGAAAGCCAAAACAGAAAAAGGCTCTCAGATTTCAGTAAAATATAAATTTATTAAGGCTTTACGAGGAATTGAGAGAACATGAGAAAATTTGCCTTAATTATATTAAGATTTAACAATTTTAATTATCTAAAAAACCATTCCTGTTTTTTTTTCTATTTATTAGGTTTACCAACAATTGGTAACACTAACACATCAAATTAGTACAATTACTTAAAAGTATTAACAAAAGTGCTACAATTACTTAAAGGTAAACTCCGCATGCATATAACTTTATAAACCATAAACTGAAAAAACAATAAGTTATTCCTCAACCAAAATTAAAAACATATCTATTAGTAAGAATAGTGCTACATACACTCAAAAAATGAAAATGAAAATGAAAATAATAAAAATTTAAAAAAAAATCTACTTTACGCTATTAACTTATACATTTACGGAGACACTTAGAGAATATTCTGGGTGAGTCAAAGTGAATGTCGATTTGATCGCTGTATTCATTAATAACTTTACAGAATCTGTCATATGGAGATTTCCTTCCCAATACAGTTCTTCTTAATGGTGAACTAAGTGGTGCAATAGAACTGCGATAGAACTGCGGGGAACTCTCGAGGGTACTGTCACAGTAAATATATAGACTGTGGTACTGTTTTCAATTTATCAATGCTGATTCTGTAAACTTACAGCATCACCGAAATAGAGACTTTGGAGCGTAAGATTCTCACCAATATATTCATCTTATAAATAGAGAGATCTATCATAAAAGTGTCTTGATATTAGTTTGTGTAATGCTTACCGCTCCGGTGTTCCTCCTTATAGCTTCAAGAGCTTCTTTAAATTCTTGTGCTGACGCATACGCAAGTTCGGTTCTGTCAGTTTGAATTTCTGCAAGGAAAAAAAAACAATTTAATAAAAAACATGACGCATAAGTATATTTCACCGTAGAAATTCCTTATTCATAATTGACACGTTTCTATAGTTACGCTCATCATGGACCATATATTTCCAAATTACACACTTAATTACGTAAGGATAACCAATAATTTGCATTGATGTGTTGAATCATTCTGTGCTCTTAAAGTATGAAAATGGTTTGTACGTAATAACAGGCTTCAAAGCTTCTATTGGTCATTGACTTCTTCAGTGAAAGATATAAAATATAATGATTATGCATTAAACCATAAGTAAACGAATAGGAGCCATATTAGATCTCACGCCTTTTTATTCGTAATAATTATAACTTTTAATCAAAAGTAAAAACCGACTTCAAATTGCTAAAAAAGAAGTTATTTATTTTCTACCCTTAGGGATGGAATTTTTTCTCTAAATTTATATGTGACTACCCTTGAAGTATAATCTATTTAATAAAAAAAAAGAATCATTAAAATCGGTTCTCAATCTGCGAAGATATCATATGAAATTCCTTATACAATAGTCCAATATGAAACTTTTCTCCTATTTTCCACCCTTGGGGGCGGAAATTTTTCTTCAAAATTTAATGAAACCATCCTTGAGGTAAAGCCTAAATATTAAAATCGGTTCACAATTATTCTTTTTTTTTGTATTTATGATATCGCGTTCCATACATACAAAAAAAGAACATACAATCGAATTGAGAACCTCCTCCATTTTAAAGCCGGTTAAAAGGATTACCTTTAATGAACAGTTTCTTTACCTGACATTATATTTTGAGTTAAATTTGCCTTTTGAATGAAACGACAATACGAGTAACAGACTTTAGCAATAGCAGTAGGTACTCAGTGGAAAAAAATCTTGAGACACGGTAGAAGTAGGTAGCCCGACGGTGACTCTAGAACGAATCGGTTAAGTTAAACTGTAGATATCCGAATACTTTTATTTTATTTGGATGTCTATTTGTCGCCAAGCGGCAGTTGCTCATAGTTGCTTTGATTGATTTAGCATTTATTACATTCATCGTTATTTTGTCTTGTTTTGTATCATAACCAAGATTTTTTTTGACAAGGTTTCATAATCATAGTGCAAACACATGTAAAATAAACTGTGTATCTAGAAAGTAATAAAAGCATTTTTTAGTACCTACTTTGGTCAAAATATTTTATTTTTAAACAAATACTAAAGTTGCTGTGTTTTATTTCTTAATATACTTTATTTGTGCGCGAAAAATCTTTCTCGAGCAATTTCATGAATAATGGTGAAACCCCGCATCAGTTTCCATTCGATAATTTTAAATATTTATGAAATATACAGATGGACACAAATAAGTGAATTCATTTTAAACTGTTTAGTGATAAAACGTATTTTACAGTCTAGTTACAATTAACAAGTTATAACACTGACAAGTTATAACGGAATCTTGACATCGCATTGCCAATACATTTCTTCGTTGCGCTGCATAAATCACAGCGTTCTGTATCTCACGACGTGACCCTAACCGGATGAAAATTGTCTTTCACGAATCGATAATACCTACTCAAAGGAACTACATTGTCATTTGTATGACAGCTTATTGTACTCGTCCAGACGTGGCACACAGTTATGTTCTGATGGTAAACGATTAAAATAACCTATCCTCGATTAAATATCAAAACGCTAATCAAACGCGATAGAATGCGTCGTTACCAGTAACAATTACAAATAAAAAAAAAAGTATAACATAATCATCGAAATCCGTTTACATGGTAAATATTTTTAGCCCCCCGACGTAAAAAGTGGGGTGTTATATGTTTGACCGCTATGTGTGTCTGTGTGTCTGCTGTGGCACCGTAGCTTTTAAACGGGTGAACCGATTTGGGTGCGGTTTCTTTTATTTAAAAGCAGGTTTTCCAGCGGTGCTTCTTAGACATGTTTTATAAAAATCAATTCAGCCGTTTGAGGGTCAGCAGCTCTTTTCGTTTCAGGGTTTTTTTTTAAATTTTCAGTTTAAGTTATTTAAATAATAAAGGTAACAAACGAGCACACAGTTCACCTATAGTACTGTGGCCCATAGACATCTACATCTATCCTCAGTTAAGAATCGAAGTGCAGATACGTTCTCACCCCTGAGGACTAATATATAATATATACACTCACCATACGAAACACAACAGCATTAAGCTGCTATTTTACGCTGGTGTTCTGTGAGAGCGTGGCCCTTTCCCGATCGAGCCGACCCATTCGCGCCATAACCGTAATATACATGCAGCATGGCTCTTCCACGTATAAAACTACTACTACTATTATTAAGTCCATATGTCATGCATCTTTGCAAATTAAATATGTACAAAAACATCAGATATTAATCAAATTTATATGGGACCTAACCCTGAAGTACCCCCTTTCTGTGAGTGGTTTGAATATTTATTTTATGTTATGCATGTGGCTACTCCACTCAAATACAACACACAAAATAAAGTCAGTCTCAGATCAATTACGCAGTTTTTTTTATTAACGCATCCCAAGTCTTGCGCTATTATACTTGTTAACAAAAAGATAGCTAATCTTTTTTACCGGCTTCAAAAAGGAGGAGGTTCTCAATTCAAGTGTTTTTTTTGTATGTATGTTAAGCCGATATCTTCGCAGATTGTGAGCAGATTTTAATGATTCTTTTTTTTTATTAAATAGACTTTACCTCAAGGGTAGTACCATTAAATTTCAAGAAAAACTTCCCCCTAAAGGGTGGAAAATAGAGGGAAAAGTTTCATATTGGACTATTGTTTAAGGAATTTCATATGATATTTTCGCAGAGTGAGAACCGATTTTAATGTTTTTTTTTTAATTAAATTCATTATACTTCAAGGGTGGTCCCATATAAATTTAGAGAAAAAATTCCACCCCTAAGGGTAGAAAATAACTTCTTTTTTAGCAATTTGAAGTCGGTTTTTAATTTTTATTAAAACTTATAGTTATTTGAGAAAATTTTGCTTCTCGTCATCCAGCATATGAAACACAGTGCTATTTTACGCTGATGTTATGTGAGGTGTTCAAGATTAAGATATATTAATATCAGCACACTACCAAAGGAATCATGAGTGGCTACAAAACAAATAAGGTCAGTGTTATTATATGAACTGATATTTGAAATAATAATAATTTGATTAACCTTTCATAACAATATTAACAAGTATTTATAGCGTTGAGATAATAACAAAACTAAACACTTCTTACAGTTATCACGTTTTCATAGTATGTGTAAACGTGCAAAGACATTTACACTGGCAACCCCGATTACTTTTTAATTTCCACTTTTACAAATAAAAGATAATACTTATCTTTTATTTGTAAATTCTGGCACATGCCTTCTTTTCTGGCAAATCAAAATTAAAAAGGTTAACGAATGCTGCAAATCTAACTAAAATTAGGTGTGTCATTTGGCGATATTTATGACACACTTTGTTAAGTTATCCATTATGCTGTTAATAAAACGCACTAGTGAGTCTATATGGATGACGAAGAAAAATCCAACAATGAGATTAAGATAGCGATAAATCTAAAAGCTGTTTTAATGGTCAATTTTGTTCTTGATGATAGAGCAAATATTCGATTATTAAAAGAAATAACAGCTTTATGATTATATGGTTACATGAATATCAGGTGAAAGGATCACATAAAAGTAACATAATATAATAATAACAAAAAACCTCTGCCCGCGAACAAAGCGAACTATACTAATAAGTTGTTCGGAAGTGGAACGGTAATAACTACGTCATCATTCGAATGATAATGGCGACTAAGATAAATAAGACGGCAGCTTTGATGCACGAGTAATAATGATACCGAAAGGGAACGAATCTGTCTATAATGATTCGGGTAGCGGGACGCGTCCGGCCTCAAATACGTTCACACATTGCAGAGAAAGTATAGCACAAGCTTTGACGTGAAAATTACCTAAACGAATATATTGTAGACATTGTTGACAACTCATGATCCACGTCTGTACCTTTAATGTAAGTATAATAATGGATATAGGCCATTTTATACGAGGTAGAGCCATGCTGCGGCTAATTAGACACGACAAATGGCTGTGTTCCGTATGGTGAGTGTACAAAACCGGAGAACCTTTTTATTAGAAACGAGGCATTCCATCTTAGTCTTCAGAGGTGATAACTCATCTGAATTTTGATTCTTAATCGAGGATAGATATAGATGTCAAAGAGCCACAACATCTACTTACGATCAGGTACAGTACACCTGATTGTAAGTGGATGTTGTGGCTTTTTGGGCTCGTTTGTTACCCAAACCTAGTCGATGATGAAAAATGCTACGTCGTTCATCATGCGTACAGAAAAGGAGTGGAATAAGTTGCCAGCATCTGTCTTTCCATCCGATTACAGTGTGGGTGTCTTCAAGGCAAGAGTGAATAGGCTTTTGTTAACCCAGTGCGCTTCACCATCTCAGGCTACATCACCACTTACCATCAGGTGGGATTGTAGATAAGCGCTGGCTTAGTAGAATATAAAAAAAGGTAATGTCATGGCGAAACCTGTATGTATGAGAAATAAAATATTTACAAAACATGTGAAGTCCGCCAACACGCACTGGAGAAACGCGACGGACTAACTGCTCCATAGTCTTCTTGGAAATAGAGAGAAGGCCTGTGCCGAGAAGTCAGACATATATAGACTGTATATTATCTATTATTTAAATGAAACAACAAGTGGTAAAATTAAAAATTTTGTTCAACCTACTTCAATATAAATAAAATTTATTGTTGATTTTTTTAAAACCGCTCGACGAATTCAATAAAATTTAAATGAGACCACCTGAAAAGCATACCCATTGAAACAAAAAAGAATTTACCAAATCGGTTTAGGCGTCTCCGAGTAATCGGTGAACATACATAAAAAGAGATTCCGATGAATTGAGAACCTCCTCCTTGTTTTGAAGTCGGTTGAAAATGACTACAGATATGTTACTGCACCTAAGAA